ACCAATGTTGGGTGGCTTACAGACACCTGTAATTCTAGTTTCAAGGGATCCAACCCCCTTCTTCCGGGTGCTGGATTCATGCACACATACACACAATTATTAAGATAGTAATAATAAAATGTTTAAGACAATGGGGAGACAGTCTAGAAAGTGCAAGTTTTATTACATAAAGACTGTAGAGCAGGTGTGGTAGCACAGGCCTTTAGTCCCAGCACTCGGAGGAGGAGGCAGGGAGAACCCTGAGTTCCATGCCAGCCATGGCTACACAGGGGCTGTCTACTGCCATGCGGCCACCACTGCACTCAGAGGCTGCTGTTGGCTGATGTGAAAATGCCACTATGTGGCATGGAAGGCCTTCCAGAATCTTAGAAAACTGTTTTATCTCCCGTGTCCAGGGGAGAACTCTGACTTTTTCACTAGGCAGCCAATAACACAATCTGGTTTATAGCTATCCCAGTTCTGGCCCTGATAAGGCAAAGATGAGGGACACTAGGATTAGGTCAGCCACAAGAGGACAAGGGGACACGCTGAAGTCACTGTTACAGGATATCCAGGAGAATCTTCTACCTCAATACACCAGAATCTCACCAGCGCCCGTCTTAAGAACAAGTGGATCCACCTGCCAGCTCAGATAAGGCAACATTTTGGACACAGTGGCCCGGGCATGAACAGGCTTTCTGCCAGTGTGGCTTTTTTCAGGTAGACAAGGGTTTGTGTGGGTTTGTGTGACAAGGCATACCTGGCTGTGTGCCCCTTGCCCAGCATTCCTGCTGACTGCAGAAAGCCTGCCAGAGAAAGTAAGGTTACCTCTGCTCATCTACGCTACCCCCGTGCGGCAGCTCTGCGGTAAGGCCAGCGCTTGCTCATCTATGCTACCCCCCTGTGGCAGTTCTGCGGTAAGGGCAGGAGTCCAGGTTTGTCAGGCTGTCCAGAACTGATGGTACACTAACCACCCCCCTCTCCGCTAACCCCCCGCCCACCCCTCCACCCCAACTCAGAGTAGGGAACCTATCTCTCCACAAATGAAGCCCACGCTCTCCAACAGGCACTTTGTCAGTGTTGATGGTCATCCTTACAAACCAGTTCTTCTGTCTACTTTTCCAGTTCAGAAGGGGGGGTGTGAAGAAGCCCAGATTTGAAACCAGTGCAGTGAATTTTACAAACAGCAGCAGGTTTCCGGTTGCTGGCCGACTGGCTGGCTTGAAGCCCTCTGTCCTGCAGGCATCACAGGATGGTGCATCCCTAAAACCTAGATGGCCAACACTTACTTTCCATCCCTAAACCCAGGCAGTTCCTAACATTTCTACATGCTCACTCTCCTGTGGCCACATCCTAAGACACAGGCTGAACAGCCATTCTCTGTCTGTCCCTGAGTGCTGAGTGGCCAGCATGGCCAGCAGCTCCGGGGAACAGCTCTTCAGTACTTGAGTAAACACACAAGTGTAACAGGTCTGCAAGCTAGGACTATAACAGAAGACCAGCAGCCCTATGCCTCAGTACTCTGATAATTGGCAGCAATGGTTTGTCTATCCAGGCTTTTTTTTTTTATTTTTATTTTTTTTAAGGAATTTGGGGCTAGAGAGATGGCTCAGCAGTTAAGAGTTCTAACTACTCTTCCAGAAGATCTGGATATGATCAGCAACCACATGGCAGTTCACAACTGTCTGTAACTCCAGTCCTAAAAGATCTGACACCCTTTTCTAGTCTCTGTGGGTACTGCATCCATGTGGTGCACAGAAATCCATATAGGGAAAACATCCATACACAATTAAAAAAAAAAAAAAAGATTAAATTTTAGCTGGTGTGGTGGTGCATTCCTTTAATTTCAGCACTTGGGAGGCAGAGGGAGATGGATCTCTCTGAGTTCGAACCACATAATGAGTTACAGGACAGCCAGGACTATGTAAAGAGGCCCTGTCTCAAATAGCCAAAATATTAAATTAATTAAGAATAAATAAATAAAAGTAAAAAGTGGATTTACCATGCACAAGACATACAAAGAATACATTCAGGCAAACATACACATGAAATAAAAAGTTTTGTTTGTTTGTTTTTCTTTTCTTTTGGTTTTTCCAGACAGGGTTTCTCTGTGTAGCCCTGGATTCCCCTTATAGACCAGACTGGCCTCGAACTCATAAAGATCCATCTGCCTCTGCCTTTTGAGTTTTAGGATTAAAGGCAGGTGCCACCACTGGCTGGCAAAATACTTTTTGTTGTTGTTGTTGTCTGTTTTGTTTTTTTCAAGAGAGGGTTTCTCTCTGTAGCCTTGGCTGTCCTGGACTTGCTTTATAGACCAGGCTGGCCTCGAGCTCACAACCTGCCTCTGCCTCCCTGAATGCTGCAATTAAAGGTGTGCACCACTACACCCAGCAAAACAAATTCTTTTTAAAAACAAATTTAAAAACAAAAATTCTTTTTAAAAACAAATTTACTTTTAAATAATAAAGTATGAATACTTAGAAAATTCATTTATTTTAATTTTAAAGGGCATTTAGAGAACTTCAAAGCACTAAAGAGTCTTCTTCTTCAGGGATGTGTGTACGGGCTCACAGAAACCAATTTTGGACTGTGCTTTCTGGCCCATGCAGATAGCACACATCGTGGTGTTTTAGACATAAAATATTAGGCATAAAATATTACCTAATAAAATGTCCTAACCGCGCCCCCTAGCTGTAGCAGCATGGCAAAGCCAGGAAGCTGCACTCTCCTCTTTGACCTAGGCTGCTGGGAAGCTCAGGGACAAGCTGGAGCCAGCAGTTCAGAGGTCCAGTGACCGTGACAGACATTGTCTTTACCGTTCTTTACCCTGGCTTTTGTTTGGCTTGTTCTTATTTCTCTTTCATCCATAATCTACTTTAGTCTCTTTTTTCCCCATTTTCATATTTATGTTTCTCTTCCTTTCAATAACCTACTTTAAACCTACTTTTTAAAAACACTACAGGCAGCCTATGTTTATGAAGATTCTAATGAGAGTGTGTGAATCCTTTTTCAAAGTTGCACAGACTCATGGGGTCCCTGACGACCCTCAGGGACTCTGTCTAAAGCAGGACTCAGCCAGCCAGCCTCTGATCAGGCTCAGGCAGGCCTGAGCTCCAGGATGCAGGTAGGCTCCTGAATTCTGGGGATGTCCTTGGAGACACTGGTGGCCTTTCAGGTTAAGAAGCCCTGACTTAGCCTGGCATGGTGGTACCTGCCTTTAACTCCAGCACTCAGGGAGGCAGAGGCAGGCGGACTGCTGTGAGTTCAAGGCCAGCCTGGTCTACAAATAGAGTCCAGGATAGCCAAGGCTACACAGAGAAACCTGTCTCGGAAAAACAAAACAAGAAGGCCTGACTCCACACTGTGTACTTCCAGTTGTGCTATCCTAGGGAACATCCAGCCTGAGATGCAAAACCTGAGCCCAATCTCAAGGCAACACCACACACACAAGGACAGTAGCCTGCTTTTCTAAAAGGGACTGTAGTTTTCCTCATGTGTCAACACTGTGAAAGTCAAAGGAAAGCCAGAGAAGTGATCCAGATCAAAGGAGCCATACAGTGCTCATAAGAGTGACCCAGGCTGCTGAGGGGAGGAGTTCTGAAAAGCGGTACTAGCTCCTCTGACGAGTGGAAATGAATTAGAGAAGACGAGTCTCCGGAATGGACCCTTATGCAATTAGGTAAGAGAAAACCGACCCTCATCTTGTCCCTCTGCTTGCTTTGATTTCTGCGATATGATCTGTCTCTTCATTCCATGCCAATCTCATGTTCCCTGTGGAGTCTAAGCTGACCTCATACTTTCTATAATCCTTTCCACTTCAGCCTCTTTAGTGCTGGGATCACAGGTGAGAGAATGACTCGGCCAAGCTTAAGAAATACACACTGGGGGCTGCAGAGACGACGCGCTTGCTGCTTTCCCAGAAGACCCAAGTTGATCCCGGCACTCAAGAGTTCCAGGGATCCGATCCCTCGGGCCTGTATGCATTCAGCTGCACATAACCACATGCAGACAGGCTACGCCTAACTAAAAATAATAAGAACAAGTCTCTGAAACAAAAGGGAAAGACACACACGTTGCAATCAGGTGTGGAACCCTGTGTCTGTAATCCCAGCACTCGGGAGGCAGAGACAGGAGCTTAAGAGTTTTAAGTACAAGTTCAATGCCAGACTGATCTACACGAGATCTTGTCTTAACAAACAGGGCAAAGCAAAAATAAATACATACCAGCCTGACAAACATGTACAAATGTTTTATAAAACCTGCTATGTTTGTGTATGTTCAAGGTGTGTATGGAGACACTTGGGGGGGGGGGAAGAACACATACAGAAACACACAAAGGAAATACATAAATGCTAAATGCTGGTCAAGGAAGATGCCAATATTTCTTGCTATTTTTGTGATTTTTCTGTATTTTGAATAAAAAGTTAAAAAGTCTTATCTTAAACCACTCAGCCTCCCACCCCCAGTTCCCTTGTATATGTGTAAGCATGTTTAAGTGCATCCATGAATGTGTGCATGTACATGTGGAGGCCAGAGCACAAACTTGGCTGTTGGTCCTTAGGCGCCATCTGCCTTTTTTGGAGACAAGGCCTGTCACTGTCCAGAAGCTCATAAGCAGGCTAGCCTGCCTGGTCAGCGAGCCTCCAGCAGCAGCCTCCCTCTGCCTTCCCAGCTCAAGGATGCCAGCATGTACCAAACTCAATACTGAGACGCTGCCCCAGCTCACACGAATCCCTTTAGAGACAAAGCAGGGCCTCTCTTTGCTCCCTGTGACTCCCAGGCCTCAGTGCCCAAGAGAGGCTGCCCTGCCGTAGCACAACAGCACCCCTTCTTGCTCACCCAAGGGCTAACCCTCACCTGCACCCTCTTCAAAACAGCCTGTTTTCCTTCTGGGAGCTTCTAGACTGCCAAAGACAAGTGTATCCTCTGACGCATTTTGAGTGTCATTTTCTCACAGGCTTTCATTCACTTTAAGTTTGGGGACACAAACCCAGGACAGCCTATCTCTCATGGTGCCTCACCGTCCCAGGCCTTGTGAAGTCCACGCTGTGTGCCAGGCTCTGCCGCATCTGGTTACTGAAAAGGCGGACGCAGACACTCTGCAGGTACTCAGGAGTAATCTGCAGGGAGGACAAGGTTGGCAGGTGAAAGGCATGCAACTGTCCACAGGACCCCAGGTCTGCTACCCCTGGGCATCTCCTGTAGGTGAGCTGATAAAAGGGCCATGCTAGAGAAAGCATCCTACACTTCACCCTCTGCCCTAGTTTCTGCTGCTGTGACAAAAACACTTTACAAACAGCAATGTAGGGGAACTACTCCATGGTACAGCTGTACTGTGGAGAAGTCAGGATAATAGAAACTTGAAGCAGCCAGACACATCCAGTAAAGGGCAGAGGGAGTGCAAGTTGCACACTTATTATGTAGCTCAATTTCTCCACTCTTAACACGGTTCAGAATCTAGATCCAGGGAATGGCGCTGCCCATAGTGGGCTGGGTCTTCCCAATCAATTACCTTAAACATAAACAATCTTCCACACACTTGCCTGCAGACCAACCTGACCCAGAGGCTCCCTCACTGAGACTCTTCCCAAGGTGGTTGCAGACTGTGTCAAGTCGATAATTAAAAGCAACCGCCAACCCCAGAGCTCCGGGAAGAATCAACAGACTGCTCTAACAAAGTAAAAGTAACTGACTTGGTTGGAGAGGTGGCTCAGCAGTTAAGCACTCTGGCTGCTCCTCCACAGGACCCGGGATCAATTCCCAACACCCACATGGCAGCTAGTAACCATCTGTAATTCAGCTCCAGGGGAGCCAGCACCCTTACAAATGCATGCAAGGCAAAACACCAATGCACATACAATAAAAATAAATAAATAAATCATTTAAAAAAGTAACTGTCTACAGCTATGATCGCAGGCCACCTCACTTCAAAGGGTGCCATTCACTCAGTGCATTTCAACTGCCATGGAAAAGAACTGGTTTCTCAACCATTTCTGTAAATTCAAGGCACGAATGGTGGCAAGAGTGGCACTTTCAAATCTGAAGATCTGGGCTCTAGTTTTTGAGTCATGATAAAATGAGCTCAGTAGCCCTGCCCTGCACTCCTGAGCCAGAGAGATGAAAGATGCCACCGGCCTGGTTCACACCAAGGTGTGATGAGGCCACAAATGCCCCCAGTATTAAGGAAATGCTGGCTGAGAAGATGACAGACATTATCAATAAACTGTCAAGTGCATGACAACATGATGCTGGCTTCCTGTCACGAAGGTACAAGCTGGCTCTGAACTCTCAATCCTTCTGCTTTTGCCTCCCAAGTTCTGAAATTACAGGTGTGCACAACCACACCCAACTACAAAGTTTAATTACGGTGCTGCTGAGTGTGTACGGAAACAGGCATTCTGATACAGTCCTGGAGGGTAGGCAGTGTTTGAATTTTTAGGAACTGTTTGGCAAGATCTGTCAAAATAATGACTTAGCAATCCATTTTTCAGCTCTGTTGTGCATCCAAAGGACACAGCTTGTTTAAGAGTGTTCACTGCAGCACTGTTAAACCAACCAGACAGGCCTCAGGCCTCATCACTGCAGACCTGCTAATGGGTCATCCTTATGGTGAAACCCTGCATGAGCATTTGCTGACTGAGGCAGGAGGGATTTCTCTGACTCCCTTTCTTTACTAACTGAAGGAAGGAAGGAAGGAAGGAAGGAGGCATGGTCGTGGGCAAGCACCATCAAGACACTGTAATACACGGGGCGGTGGGAGGAGAGCACGTTTCAGAGGCATAATGAGTCATAGGATCACAACTAAACCTAAGGACACTGGGTGCATGTCAGCACTTGCAAGTCTGCATATGCGCACACAGATGTGTGAAATCACACAGGAAACATGTTAGCATCCATGGCAAAGGGGGGCAGGGTCAAACCACGTGAGGTCACTGTGTGATCCTCTGCATTGTTTCAAGTTTTTGTCCTAAGCACACATTTCTAGATGGGCTGTGGGCTGCAGAGACGCTCAGTGGTGAAGAGCACTTGCTGCTCTCTCCCAGGGGATCTGAGGTCAGTACCCAGCATCCACATCAGGGAGCTCACAAGCACCCATCACTCCAGCTCCACGGGATCTCAGGCCTCCCTTCGTGCCTCAGGCATGCACATGGCAAGCAAACATACATCAAGGCAAAACACCCATACATAGAATCTAAACTAAAGAAAGAATGTATCCTTCATGCTTTGTCCATCTTTTTTTTAAAGATTTATGTATTTTTATGTGTTTATGGGCTGTGATTAAAGGTGTGTGCCACTCGGCTAGGCCCATAAATACAATTGTAAAAACAAGGCAGAAGCTGACAGCGAGGTAGAGCGAGGAAGACCTGCACGTGTTAGCACATTTGCTGCACAGCAGCTCTTGGAAATACAGGGCAGGCAACACACAGCGGTGCAGCCCAGGCTCCATTCATTTTCTCTGAAACAGAAATCTACACAAACGGGGTGATGCTTACCATCTTGCCACTGACTGTGGCCTCTAGCGAGTCTACCAGCTCGGCTGTGACTCCGATGAGGTTGTGGTAGTCGGCCTGGATCTTATTGTACCGCTTCAGGTAGGTCATGGCTCGGCGCTCGGCCTCTACCAGCTGGTGGTGGAGCTGCTGCAGCATTTCTAGAAAGACAGTCTACGCTGAGGCCAAACGTAAGGACAGCAGCGGCAGCAGACCAGAAACCAAGTCACTGTGCTCTGCTCTGAGGCTACCAAGCCTTCTACCACGATGCTTCGCAGCACCACAGACGTGGCAACAATAATAAAGAAGAAATCTGACCGCAAATGCTGACAAGGCTGTGGGCAAGAGGAACTCTTACTCACAGCTGGTGGGAAAGGGAGCTTGGACAGCAATTACGAAGAGCAGATGGAGCCCCCTGAGAAGTTCACATGGCCAATCAAACCACTCCTGGGCATACACCCCAAGGACCCTTTGTCCCAGTACAGAAATACCTGCATGTCCATGTTGACGGCTACTCTACTCACAATAGCAAAGGAAGGGAACCAGCCTGCATGCCCCTCAACATGTGAGTCACGGCAGCTTCCATCGAAATGTCAAAGGAAAGCCTAAGAGCTTTAGCAGTGTGCTGGGGTTGGAGGCCCTGCAAGCATCTCCCAATGGGCAGTATATTGTGAAGCCCTGACAGCTGACACTGAAGCCACAGGAAACAAGGGTGTCAGCAATGCACAACACCTGCCTAGGAAAGCTGCAGGCAGAAGCATAGCCTGACTGAGCAGTATTGGAACAAGTAAGCCTTAGGGGTCTCAGAGATGGAAGAAAATGTGTTTTCATTGTGAGGTGGTCATCTGTAGTGAGAATTTCAGAATTTTCATTTTTTTAAAGACACAGAAATATTATAAGAATATGTTTTCATTTTAATCCCACACGTGGGGATATGGGGCTGCCTCCAAGCAGCTGACTAAGATTTACCTTGTGTTCTAGCAGGGGCATGATTTTGACAGCTGCAGATTAGTTCTGTGATTGTGTGATGTCTGAAATTCTGGGAACTTTTCAGAGGGTATATAAATGCTAGGGCCCCCGAGAGTGGTGAGTTGTTGGTTGTTATTGGTTGCAGTTTGTTAAGTGGTCGTGCACAAAGAAAAAACAAGAGGAGGGAGAAATTAGAGATCCTGATGGCAAAGATCAAACTTGCCTGAAGGAACTCGGACCCCTAAACAACAACAGGAAGTAGTATAATGATATCATCACCTCTTTCCTCTTTCTCATTTTTTCCTTCTTTATCTTGTGTTACGGGGTTGAAAAGGTGGGGGAAAAAAGAACCCACAAAGTAGAAAAAAAAAAAAAGCCAGCTGCAGTCATTAACTGTTGGGGCCAGTGAGTACACTCTAAGGTTTGAATGACTGTTTCCCAAAGATCCATGTGTTAAAGACTTAGTCTCCAGGGTGATGCTATTGGGAGGAAGCAGAAACTTCAGGAAGGACCCAACTCATTTTCGTTTTGCTTCCTGATTCATGATGTAAGTAGTGTGTTCTACCATGTAACTGAACATTAACATCAGGTGCCCTCCCCAGAGACCCAAACGAACCAGGCTACCTGATCTTGGACTGTAGCCCCAGAACTGTGAACTAAATCAACATTTACTTTATAAATTAACTGCCTCCAATATTTATTTACTGAGATAATGTAAAGATGGCTAACACACCAGGCAACCAAAACAAAAACATTCAAAATCTCCTCGCCTCACGATACCAAACTCTCCGTATGTGTCATAACTAAAAATTACACATTACCCAACTCACTGGTAAGCTGAATTAAATAATTTACTAATACTTCCTTTCTTGAAAAAAAAATGCTGGTGCTAGAAATATGGGTTCAGAGGCCGGGAAGGTTGGCTGCTCACCCAGAGGACCCAGGTTTGCTTTCTAGCACCCCCTACACAACCATCTGTATCTCCTGGTTCCAGAGGATCTGGGGCCCTCTTTTGGCATCTGCAGCAAACAGGCATGCATGCGGTACATATGCATGGAGGCAAACACCCACACACATAATCTTTTTAAACGTTTAACTCCTTTAACCAAAGCATAGAAAACCAGAACAGGAAGGTCTCAAATCCTGACATTGCTCTTCTTGGAAAAGGGTGGTGTTGCTGTTTCATGAACCAAATTTTCACATAGGAAAACTCCATGAGCTGGGAGATGGGGACCCTGCCTTCAATACTATGTGTGCCACTCACCACAAACACTTCCCAACAACTACAGGCATTTCCAAAACAGTATCTAAGACAAGACCAAGGCAAAGAATTGCAACAGAGGCCACCAAGCCCATAGTAACCAGTTTTTCTCACCTTACTGAAAGATGAAATGCTCTAGTAAAAATTATTGCCCATCGGGGAAAAAATGCCGTTTTATGTAAACATTCAAGACTGGAATTACTTTAAATGTTTAAAAAAATGGAAACACTGTCTAAAAATGGTACTGCCTCCGGTAAGCTGGAGGGTAAAAGCTGAGCTATTAAAGTAATTCCCCTGCCCCATGCTGGCTCTGGGTTCATACTGAGCCAACACAGGTCCTTCCAGCCAGGCTGGGACCTGGCGGTCCCCCAGTTCTCCATTTCTCAGTTATCTAATATGCTAGACAGGCTGACACACTCGCCATCCTTCAGGAGCGGGCCTCAAGGAGCTGCACGGAGCAGGGTCACAAGGCACTCTAAATATTTAGACTTTGAAGGCCCGCATTTGCCAAGTCCACAAATTCTCTCCACCTCTGTTTCTTCTCACAGCTGAGAAGCTGAGCTGGCAAAGCTGTTCGTGAAAGCTGCAATCAAGATGATTTACCTTTGCTAGTCGGTCCGCTTTCCTTCTGGTGAGAAAGCAGCTCAGGAAAACAGAGCCCTGGGGCACAGAACTCAGGTGTCTGATGTTGTGAGGCTGATAAAGGACCTGAAGCTGATGGCAGAGATTGCTCAAGACAGTGGAGGCCAGTTCCAAAGGTTGCTGTAAACAATGACAGCAATTTCTTACACTGCTTAATCACTGCCACACATTTGTGCCATCGCAGTGACTTCCATGAGAACCATGTGGCTGCAATATTCCCAGCGCTTCCACACTAGCCTAAACACAGGCCCTGCTGGCAAAACCTTACCAGTATGTTTCACTGAACCCATAACCCAAAGACTGTCACTGCTTCAGCCCAAGAACATAGGCTAGGGGAGGACAGTGGCTAAGGCTGCATTTGTAGCTGGGTTGCATGGACTCCAATCCCATCTCCAATGTATCTGTACAATGAGCAAAGTCATGCCATCCATTTATCTTACTTGTTTCTTCCTTCTCTGCTAATAGCTCTATGCATTCATTCTGGGCGGGGCCTATTTAGAGTGTTCATTTTGGTGACTTATTTAGAGTGAGTTACACAAGCAGCACAACAACCACCTTTGTTCTCCTTTTTCCTCTCCTTTCCTTTCTTTTTATTTTATTCCAAGGCTGGGGATCAAACTCAGGCCTTGTGTACATCCTCCAGCCTCACATGAAATAAATTTGGCTAGATGCTTGTCCAGTAAGAAAAGACACGTGTCCCTGCACACAAACAACCATTGGGAAATTAGTCTCCAAAGGGTGGGTGACTGACATTCTTGGAACAGTCTCCATTTATAGCTATGACACTGCCCCTCTGCACTTTCAACAGTGTCCTCTGTGAAATTAGATTATGATAATGGCTGTACAACTGTGTCCAGCTGCCAAAAACAAACAAACAAACAAACAAATAAACACCAATGAATCTGACACTGACAATGCGTAAACCTTATAGTATGTAAATTATGCAATAGAGCTATTTAAAAGAAGTCTGGATTTAAACGACAAATCCAATCGCTATGACCTCTAGGCAACCCAAATGATTCAATGACCTTTGGCAAAGGAACAATTCTTCCAAGGAGGTATTTTCAACAGCAAGGTTGTTTTGTTTTGTTTTTTTTCTTTTTTTTTCCCCCTGCCAAAACAGTCTCTAGGCTTGGTGACACCAAAATAAGAGCACAGGAATGGAAAGATGGCTCAATAGTTAAGAGCATTTGTTTCTTTTAGAGGGCCTGAGTTCAATTCCCAACACCAATGTCAGGTGACACTCAGCTCCAGCTCCCGAGTTTCTGACACTTTCTTTTGGCCTTTGAAGACACCTGTGCCAACACACACACACACACACACACACACACACACACACACACACACACACACATAAAATAAATAAACCTTTCAAAAAAATAAAATAGACCATAGTCAAGTTCATCAATCCAATGGCATGAAGGTCAGCCTCCAGGAATGCTTCATTTACTTCCTAAGTACAAACCCAACAGACCTGTGGTGGCTTGCCTGTCTGAGGTACCCAAAGTCAGTGTCACTGCTATGACATCCAGGGGATCCCAGTCACTTCAAAAGGATACATAGATGGTTAAAAGCTTTGGCGTGTTATTGGCCTTAAAAATTAATGCTAAAAACTTTTCCAGCTTCAGCTTTAACTCTGGAGCCCAAGAATCCTGAAGAAAAACAAACAAACAAACAAACAAATAAAACATCAGCTCACTAAATAGCCACAGTACCATTAAAGCTGTGGGTGTTGAGTCAAATAGCCCTGTCAGGTACAGAAATCAAACATGATGTGTCCTGTCAGGGTTGGGAGACATGGAAAACAGGTTTCTGCTGTGTAACTGGTTCATTTATAAATAATTCAAGGACCCACATCAGGACAAATAGCTTGCACATGACTGGAATATTTCTTGTGACTTACACACTAGCATGATATGTGGCCTTATGAGGCTGGATACCAAGATTAACCCATTGCAGTCTAGGTATGCATGCCACAGTAGACATGACACAGGCAATTATCCCTTTAGTAGACACCCCCAAAGAAAAGGAGTCACTTCGAGACCTCATTTAGACAAGGAGAGACATGCACCTACCTCACTACCTCATGTCACGGCAAACACTGTGACAGAATTTCAGTTCAATCTACCCTTGAAAATAAATGACTTATCTCAATAACACTTACCAAGAAAAAAAAAATAACTGAAATTGTGAAAAAAGTATGACAATAAACAATTATCATCTCACTTTACATGTGTTGGGGGTTTTGTTATGTTACTCAGGCTGGACTTGAACTTCTGATTCTCCTGAGTGGTGGGAAAATAGGCAGGCACCTCCTCCTCTGGCTTAAAAATAAACTTTCTTGGAATAATTTTATTTCTATCCTTCAAATAAAAATAAAATAAAAGTATCTCCCACTTAAAGCAGAGAAAAGCAGCCACTCCACCCAAGCGCACATCCACGCCTGTCCTGGGTCCTCTCCCGCATTTCCTCTCTCCAGGACTGCACCCTTCTTTTCCCACACTTCCACATTCTCCCCATCCTTCTATTCCCTATGCCATCTGGTTCTTGAACACAATACTGACAGATAAGAAAAAAATTCCCATATTTTCAAAATATTCTTAAATTTTTTGATGCTACAAGATTTGAAAAACTGTAATGTATGGCCTTGGGAGGCGGCTCAGGGGTTAAGAGCACTGGCTGCTCTTTTGCAGGGCCCCAGGGCTCTTCTACAACACCTGCATGGCAGCTCGGAGCTGCTGGAACTCCAGCCCCAGTGGGTATGGTAACCTCATACAGACATACATTTCAGCAAAGCACCAATGCACATAAAAATCTTTAAAAAAAATTGTAATGTATACTATAATGGGTTGTACTGTTCCCCAAAAGTCATGTTGAAATCCTTGTCCCTGGTATCTCAGGACATAAAGCTGTTGAGGTTGGGGCCACAGCAAACGTCAGATGTATGCATCCTGGATGGTGTACCCTTAAGTCAATGCCACCTCACCTAAACAAAGAGGGAACTCACACACAGACACATAGGGAAGACGTCCAGAGTGGCATGCACACAAGCCAAGAACCACCTGGATCCACTGGAAGATGGAGGAAAAAGGAAGGGTGCCCTTCTCTAGAGCTTACAGAGGGAGCACAGCAGCCCAGATGTGTTCTCAGGCGGCTGGACCCCCAGCCACTCTGTTGGAGGTCCCGCTTTACACTAGGAAAGCAGCAGTGCTTCGTTCAGCTCAGGGCTCTGCCCATTCCACCCCTCAGTCTCAAGATGAGGATGCTGAGGTGCCAGTGTAAATCAAGACGCTTTGTTCATTACTGTTTCTGTGTGATGTACATGTGAGCATGGAGCACACTGCCACAGTGTATGAGGGGAGGTCAAAGAACAACTTTCAGGAGTCGGTCCTCCCCTCCACCTGTTGAGGCAGAATCTCTCCTGGTTTTACAGCTCTGTGCTGACCTGAGATCTTCTGAGCATTTCTCCTGCCTCCATTCTTTTCTCACTACAGGAATGCTGAGATCAGATGGTAATAACTACATTTGGTTTTTGTTGTTTTGTTTTGTGGGCCCCAGGATCAAAACCAGGTTATTCTACTTGTGCAACAAGTACTTTTACCTGCAGAGGCATCTCCCTGGCAGGGACTGAGAACCTGGTTTAGGCGGCAGAGCACTTGTCTAGCATACAAGAAACCCTACATTTGATTCTTGGTACTGCATAAAACTTGTAATTACTGAGTGCTGAAATCCCAGCACTCAGTAGGTAGAAGTAGGAGGATCAGACATTCAAGGTCATCTCAAGCTATTATGCTGCGCTCAAGGTCAGTGTGGGCTACTAAGACCCTGTCTCATAAAACCAAAAACTAGTATTTGGGACCTGTGGACTCCCGGGCATGTTGTCCTGGTGTTGGTTATGTATAACCAACAGACAGGTATTTTCCACTTAATTACTTCTGTGACAACATTCTTGCAGCTGACGTGGATGGGCTGGAACACAAACTCTCCAGCAGAAAGCCCCGATTTCTCCTTGACTGTTATTTCTGGTTGTTTTCAGATTTGAGAAGAACACTTTCTGAGTCTGCTGAGCTCTTGATCCCACACTTCCAGAGTCAAGTGTGAAGAGCCAGGAAAAGTGGGCCGGCTCTGACGAATGGTCTGGGAAAGGCTACTCATCCTCTTTCTCAGTTTCTTCCTGTGCAGAGCACAAGCTTTCGAGTACACTTGACTGTTTGTCTTTCCAGCGCTAAATGTTCTGATCCTTCTAAACCTTCAATGGACCCAAACACATGGAAGAACTGCTATGGCTGTGGGGAGTGGGCCAGGGCTGCCCCAGGGCCCTCCTCCACTCTCCCTTGCAGAGCCTGCCAACTTCAACTCTCCCCAAGCCCCCAGGTGCTCCACATGCTAAGCAAGGGCTCCGCCACTGAGTTATAATCCCAGCTTCTTGAACTTTTGAGATACTGGGATCTCATTAAATTGCCAGCTGGCCTTAAACCTCCTGCCTCAGTCTCCCTAATAGCTGGGATTACAGTCTGTATCATCAGGCTAGCCTTCCATCTCTTTAAATCCTTACTGGTTACCCTTTGCTCAGCCCAGTCCCTGGCATGAACAGGCACTCAGGAACTGTTCTCTGAAATAATCACAGTCATCCTAAGTATTTCTGTAAGAGGGTGCTCACTGACAGACTGAGGTTACTGAATACACATTGTGATTACCACAAAGAACCTCACCAGCTGGACTAGGATGCACATCTTTTCCACTTTTTAATTACTTACTTATGTGAACATATGTGTTTGCTCCCTGAAGCTGGAGTCCCACGTTGTTGTGAGCTGTCTAATGTGGGTGCGGGGACTCAAAATCAGTAAAGAGTGGGATAAATAAACCACTATACAAACAGGACAGCAAGCCAGTCTGAAGGGCAAGCAGTCTAAGGCTCTGCACTCAGAGGCTAAAGCAAGGAACTACACACAGACAGAAAGGACAGAAAACCTCGCTCAAGGCCAAAACGGTAAATTTTATCCATGTGTTCTTAACCATAATTTTTAAAATAAGTTTCTTTATTTATATATTATTTATACAGCATTCTGCCTGCATGTGTGCCTGCAGGCTAGAAGAGGGCACCAGATCCCACTATAGATGATTATGAGCCACCATGTGGTTGCTGGGAATTGAACTCAGGACCTTTGGAAGAACAGCCAGTGCTCTTAACCTCTGAGCATCTCTCTAACCCTTCACCATAATTTTTTAAATGGAAAAAAAAGATATGGAGGATATAAAGAGCCATAGACATTTGATCAGCTATCCAGAGGAAATGATAAAAAGACTAAAAGAGAGAGAATATATACAAATTGTTCCAAGATACAAGGCATCAAATCAAGGAGGCTCAGTAAATTAAAAATGAAATCAGAAATTTGACCTTGGACACAGTAAAGTGAAATTATACAACCTCAAATCCAAAGGAAAAAAATAGATCACCGCTCAACAGACATACAGGCTACTCTGAAACAGCAGCATTGGGTGATGGGAGAGGTGCAGGTTAGCTAGGTTTAAAAACCAGTGGATCATCTCTTCAATACTTATAAAGCATAAATAGGATGATCTAAAAGGCTAGTATATTTTTAAAAAGTCAGTTTAAGTAAATACACCTTAGTGTTGACAACAACAACAAAATTCCATATTACAGCACAAGTAAAGTTTGTTCAAACAAGATATCTGAGCAGTGTTTCAAAATAAAATATGAGTGGTTGCTTGGCATAGAAGAGGGGGCAGAAGCAAATACAATGGGGCAACACAAGGTAGTTCTAAGAATAACTGATGCAAAAATTCTGCTTCCTGATGGCGGTGACAGTAGTTATAACTACGCACATGTTAAAATTCATAGACCTGTACCTGTGCAAAAGTCAATTTTACTATGTGATGACTGAAAAAACAGCTTGGATGTGTGTGCATGGGTGCATGCATGCATGTGCGTTATATGTGTGTTGTGTGTGCATCTCACGTGTGTCTAAAAACTACTTTTGTTTACTTTGCTTGCTCTAAGGGGAATCACCCTCAAATGTGACATGGTTTACTGAAGACTATGTCAACATGTGGCTCAGGTCATAGATTATTCATCATTATTTCCATTCTGAGACTACAACTCAATTTCCTGCTGCATGTCCCTACTGATATCTATCTGGCCTGCTTCTATGTCTTGCTACGTCCCTTACAGGTGTATACTATATGTGCAAGGACATACAACCACTGCTATGTAAAATGTAAGTCAAACACTACCCAGCCATTCACTAGAGTAAGTATATACATTAGGGAACGATAACTAACAATGAGGATAAACCTTAGTTTTTGGAGCATCATTCAGAAACCACCAATACAACCATGTGGCCCAGGTTCTGACAGCTTCCACAGACGGCTGCTTACCTGGAAGAGCTCTTTAAATGAGGGGTGGACCATAGGATTGGGCACAAAGGGGAGGGCAAAGAAGGGAAGAAACTCTGTGGTCTGGCTCAGGGCAGCCCCTTTTGTCTCCAGGTAGGTTTTGAAATAAGAAATCCTCTCATCTAGCTCCTGTTTGTCCTAGAGGGAAGAAGACACGTGTTCAGGTCTCTGGCATGAGACTCAGTCCTCCTGTTCAACCCATCCACTCTGGGAGGTTCCCTGGGTCCCAGCCATGTCACTGGTTTTGCCCCATCTGGCCTGGCAGCCACATTCCAACATCACTTTAGACAGGAATGCCAGAGGAGCGATGGACAGCTCACATGTTTCACTCTAGCCAGAGGACCGATGGGCAGCTCCCATGTTCTTTTACATCACTAGTACCATCCTCTCAGGTCCTTAAAAAGCTTCATGAGCATCATTTTCTCAGTGTCAGAACCGATCACCTTGTCTATCATGATCCACGTGACTAATTCTCCATTGTGAGATATGCCCATTGCTTCTGCTTTGCTGCATTCCCATGTTTCTAAAGGGGAATTATGTAGCTTTGCAGTTTCCTGAAAAGAAGTGCACTCCTTCCCCTCATGAAGCTAAGGACTGACTGCACCCCATCACTGTTCTGCACACAACCTGAATCAAGGAATCCCTTCTCTTTGGCCCCAGTGAAGACACGAGGCTTCAAAACAGGTACCTTTCTCCTCATAGATCCCACCTTCCTCATCCCATGAATACACTTCTTCTGAGCACTGGGCTTAGAAAGTCAGGTAAGCCTGACTTTCAACAACAAGCACCAAAGGAAGCCTGACCCTCCCCATATGGGTCATACTTAGAGAACAGCCTTCCAAGAATGGCCCCTTCATGGAAGCATGAAGCCACTTCCTCACCGCTGCTCCCTCCACTAGTGTCCCTGACACTCCAGTGAGTCCCAGGCACTCAGGGCAGTGTTACATGAGTGATCTAATGTCGGCTCTCTGTCTTTTGCTGTTTTGTCTATCCCTGAAGGCTCCTCTATCACAAGGCTCGACACCCCAGCCCTCTGCCACCCATTCCATATCTCCAGCCCATCTAGGAAAAGGCAACAGAAGCTAAATTCAAGCCATGGACCCTCTACAAATAGCCACACTATTCCTCTACTATTTGTATTTAAATGTATGGTCCAGGTCTACTCTCAGATACAGCAAGGCACCCAGTAAAGCAAACTCACTTTGATGAGTCTCTAAGACTCAAACACTTAAGGTGTTTAAAAGGAAAAACAATTTAACTTTGATCACAGAAATTACAAAATCTCCATATAAATTAGGAAATAAACTTCTGAGAATAAAAAAAAAAAAATCGTAAGAAGCAGTGTGATTAAATGGTCACAAAATAAACCAACGCTTTCTTGAAATCCCTGAAAGCCTGCTAGCTAACTCAGACTGACCCAAACCCTAAGCCAGCCTTACCGGCCTGCCTCCAGAGCACTTCAGAAGATAGATGGCAAAATGGATGTGAAGGTAGAATTCCAGCTTCTGGGCCACAGAGTCAGTATCTCGGAGGGAGCTCAGAATGTGTCTCTCCCACAAGTCGAAGAACACCTTCTGGTCTCCACTGTCAAACGCTGCCAGCAGATCCTTCTGTGGAGAAGACATGACAAGAAACCTGGTCAAGGCCAGGCCTGGTGACACACGCCTTACTCTCAGCACCTGTGAGGCAGAGACCAGGTGGATCCCTGCGAGTTCAAGACCAGCCTGGTCTACAAAGTGAGTCCAGGACAGCCAGAGCTACACAGAGAAACCCTGTCTCAGAACACAAAACAAAACAAAAGCAAACAAACCAACCCCGAACTTTTAAAGTGAGCCCAGCAGTGGTTTTCGCTCTCCTCTAAACCAGCCTTGCAAAAGCTGAGGGCGGCCTGTTAGCCACAGTGGATGCCGCCTGCCAGAACAGAGCACAGGCAGCCATGCACAGACACCTGGATTGGGGGGAACCTGGTCAGAGGCTCCTTGCTTTCTTGTGAATGGTGAAGTGACTCTGTCCAGGAACGTACTGCTGTGCCAGGCTCTGCCCCGTGCTCCTCTCTCCTGAGCTCCCATGCAAAAACCATGCCAGCCCCTCTAAGATGCTGAGAGGTCCATGACTGCATGGATGAGGTGAGTGCATACTTTTTGAGACAGGGTTTCTCTATGTAGCCCTGGCTGTCCTGGAACTCTTTGTAGACCAGGATGGCCTCGAACTCAGAGATCTGCCTGCTTCTGCCTCCCAAGCGCTGGGATTAAAGACATGCCACTATGCCCACCTGAGTGCAGACTTTTTAAAGGCTTAGAGTCATGGAAAGCACTGGGGCTGCTGGAACTGCGCCTAAGAATAGCAGCCTTAACTTAAGGCTGACCTCAAACTCAGAGAGATCCACCCGCCTCTGCCTCTGCGTCTGCCTCTGCGTCTGCCCCTGCCTCTGCCCCTGCCTCTGCCTCTGCCCCTGCCTCTGCCTCTGCCCCTGCCCCTGCCTCTGCCTCTGCCCCTGCCCCTGCCTCTGCCCCTGCCTCTGCCCCTGCCCCTGCCTCTGACAGTATAATCTAATAGCTGTTAACTGGATAACCAAAAAATAGGATAAATATCAAACACACACAAACACCAGAAAATAATATATTAGCAAAGATGGGCAAAACTGGAACCCTCTATAGTATTGGAAGGAATATAGAGTTTATGTGTATGAGGGTTTTGCCTACATGTATGTCTGTGCCCCACGTGTATGCCTGGTACCTTCAGAAGCCAAAAGAGGGTGTTAGTTCCCTTGGAACTGGATTTACAGATGGTTACCAGCTACTGTGTGGATGCTAGGAATTAAACCTGGGTCCTCCGGAAGACCAGCCAGTACTCTTAACTACTGAGCCATCTCTCCAGCCCTCTCTGTTTTTTGATAGCAACCATCCCAATGTGTTTGAAGTATGATACCTTGTGGTTCTCAGTGCATTCCTCTGATAGCTTTGGGTCTATTTTTATCTAACTTGAAGGAACTTGAAATTTTCTGACTATCACAAGGCTCTTCACAGAACTGAAGGCAAGGTACAGTCTTACCTGGATTATCAGCGACTTGGAGTCCTTCTTTAATGATCCATCTGCAGTTTTACATAATGGCTTTCCTTTTACTTTGCATTCTTTTGAAAATGTCTTCAAGGTGTCTTCAAATTCAGCAAAATCTAAATACTGGGACAGAGAACGTAATTCAGGAACAAAAAAAAAAAAAAAAAAAAAAAAAAAAAAAAAAAAAAAAAAAAAAAACAATAAAACCCAATAAATAATGGTCAGATGCCCTGAACACACATCTCTCTAATGCAGACATATAGAAAGCCAACAGGAATATGCTCAAACCCACACCCATAAGAATGTCTAAGACAAGGCCTGGGGATTGTCAGCATGTGGTGCTCTTGCAGAGGATACAAGTTTAATTGCCAGCACCACCATCAGGAGGTTCACAGCTTCCTGTGTAACTCCAGCTCCAGAGGATCCAACGCCTTCTTCTGGCTTCCATAAGCACCTGCACTCGAATATGTATACATGCACACAAGCACATAAATCATAAAATCCTTCAAAAAGACGAGAGCTAACAGTGACAAAGGAAGTAGAGGAAAGGAGCCTTCTGTTACTGTTACTGGCAATGGAGGCCAACACAGCTATAAATGGAGAACAAATGGAGGTTCCTCAAAACACTAGAACTAGGAAGAACATAGTGATAATACCTTACATAGAGGTATGCAACTGTCAAGTAGCAAGTCACCCAACAAAAAGTCTGAACTATTCCAGGACAGCCAGAGTTAAAAAGAGAAACCCTGTCTCAAACAAACAAACAAACAAAAAACCAAAAACCAAAAACCAAAAAACCAACCAACCAACAAAAACCTCTGACCCAGCAATCCCATTTTGGGGTATATATAGAAGAAAGTAAAATCCCCTTTTAAGACTGCTATCTGCACATGAGTATTTCTACAACATTATTCAAAACAGCCAGACATGGCATGAACCTAGATCTCCATCAACAGATGACTGGGTAAGGAAATGTGGCACATACTAAAATAATGCGACCTTACAAATCCTGCCTCTGATAACACAGACCACGTTGAGGGACATAGATTACATGAACTAAGCCAGGCAGAGAAAGATAAATACTGCACATACATATGGAATCTAAACAGCCACACTCACAAATATTTTGATCAAAGGATAACTTTCGATTATGCAAATTAGTAAAGCCGGTGAGCTAACAGTCGATATGATGGCTGTGGTTAATGACATTGTGAGGCACATTTGGAATTTGCCAGGGGAGTCAATTTTCGGTGTTCTTTACACACTCAGAGGAAGGAAAGAAGTAGGAGAGGAAACATGAGACAGGCGCACTTGATTAGCTTGACCACGTGATCGCCTCAGCGCGTTGATCAATACACCCACTGAAGCATCAAGCCACAGACATACATCTTTTTGTCAGTTACACTTGGAGAAACAGGTGACCATGAAGTAAAAGATGTCCTGGGGCTGAAGCTGCAGGCTATGAGTCACCCCACATGGGTGCTGGGACCTGACCTGGGTCCTCTGCATGAGCGGTAAGTGTTCTTAACCACTGAGCCATCTCTCCCGCCCCAACATTCTTATTGTTATTAGAAACTGAAGGAAGGCAGTCTGAAAAAAGCAAACGTGATCTATGGCAGCGGTCTACGGCTTTCGGTTCACTAGGATCCATTTGAACTAGAATCGGAAATAATGCTTTGCTAACAGAACAGAGAGCATTAAACATGAAAAATGTTAACAGCGGGCCTCTTCAGAGTGCTCCCACTCTCAAGAACAATGCTCTGATACTGTTCTCCACCCACACCCTTTCAGTTGGCATCAGTCACATCATGCTCTAAAGAGTGGCTGGGTCCCCTGGCCCTGCCACAGTCTGTGTGGTGCCAGCTACGGCAGTTTATTCAGCATCACCACAATGAACAAGCTGCCTGCCCAAAGCAGACACCCATCTTCCCTCCACTGTCTCCTGAGGCATAACTGACGGCACACTCAGCCTGAACAGCGCCCACTTTTCAGCTGCACACCTCAGAGGGCCTGCCTGAATCCTGCTCTTCCCAAGCTTTTGTGTAGCAAACCTAAAGCTGTGAGGTAAAGGGTGCCAGCTCTACAGCACATGCCTGTGATCCCGGCACTGGGGAAGCAGAGGCAGGAAGGCTTTCAAGGTCATCTTTTGCTACCTATCAAGTTCAAGATCATCCTGGGCTATGCACACTCGTGCTTTGCATCAATGAGTGAATTAAGTGGAAAATTGTGTAACAATTAAAAAAATTACAAAAATAAAAAAGTGCTCAGCTTACTAATTATTTATAAATTCATTTACTCATTTGGTTTGTTTTGATAACGGGTCTCTGACAAAGCCCAGACTGTCCCGCTGGAGCCTTTCAAGTGCTTGATTACACGTATAAGACTGCTACTTCTCTTTGTGAGTTTTCCCATTAGTTACAACCACAAGCTTATTGTTTTCTGTCATCCCACTAGACTGTCAGTTCCCCGAGGGCAGACCGCACACTCAGTATTTCTGAGTTGGGCACATGTCTACAGTCCTTGTGCCCCTTTTTGTGATGCTGGGCATCAAACCCAGGTTATTCCTCTTACGTAGGCAAGTGCTCTGCCATCGAGCTACATTCCCAGGCAGAAGGTGCTTAATGTTTGCTGAGTGATTGTGTTCCATGTGGGGTTGCGTCTGTTAGGTTTGCAGGAACATGACTTGATCCCCATCGTGTGGCAGTCACCTTGCATTGCTTCTCTGAGCTTCCAGTGGAAGCTTGCCTCACAGCAAGGCACCACATCAGTGTCCGAGCATGGCTCCCTGCCTGAGGGATGGAAGACAGACACGTGGCCTCTGATGCTTAGTATTCAGGTTTCTCTCTCCTTAGGATAACTTCATTAGTGGATAGGTCCATGTATGCATAGAGCTGTCCTCTGGTCTCGCCCTGGTCACCTCTGCTCCATCCTTGTCCCCACTGAGTCACCCAAGGTGACCTTCTCTTCATGATATGGTGACCTTCTCCCAAGCTTGCTATATTTAAAGATGTACTCATGCTTATTTTATGTGTTCAGGCAGCTTGTCTGCATGCATATCTGTATACCACATGCATGGGGGACCCACAAAGCCAGAATATGACATCAAATCTTTTGAAACTAGAATTACAGATGGCTCTTAGCCACTGCTTGGGTGCTGGCAACCAAACCTGGGCCCTCTGGGAGGAAGAACAATCAGCTTTTAACCACCAAGCCATTCTTGCTACATTTTAATTTTGTTTTTAAAGATTTATTCATTTTTATTTTTTGTATATGAGCGCCTACATGTATGTCTGTGCATCACATCCATGCCTGGTATCCAGAGAAGTCAAAAGAGAGTATTGGATTCCCTGCGACTAGACTTACCAACGGCTGTAATTTGCCATGTGAGTGCTGGGAATCAAACCTGAGTCCTCAGGAAGAGCAGCTAGTGAGCTTCACCTCTGAGCCATCTCTCAGGCCCCACTACATTTTAAAATACATGTTTTGGGGACCTGGGTTCCAATCCCAAATATCTACAACTTCAGCTCCAGAGAATCTAATGCCCCACTCTAGCCTCCATGAGCACTCACACATACAATGCAAACATACATACATACATACATACATACATACATACATACATACATAGACACAAATAATCATTTTAAAATGATTTTCAGTGACTTGTATTTCATATAACTACCTCTTTCACCAGTCCAAGTAATTCAGATTCATGGGCCAAAATATCCCCCATAGTGAATTGTTTCTGGTAATTCTCACAGCAGAAATCTCTACAAGACAAAAACATAAGACAAAGGTTAATTTCAACCACCTGAGAAATCACATGTGGGTGGCTGTGGGGGCAGAATACAGGGCCCAAGGACGGGCACATGGTAATCCCCAGAACCTGGGACTACGGGACAATGGGAGATCACAAGACTAGCAAGATTTAACCCTGTGGGTGGCATTAAGATGACTAATCAGCCGTCTTCAATCCCAGAGATAAACCTGGATTCCTAGCTTACCCGAGTCACAGGAGGAGGCAGGAGAGCCAGTGTCACAAATGGTGACAAGATGCAGAAAAATGGACCAGTCACTTCCAGGCTTTGAAGACAGAGGAATGGTCACGAGTCAGGGAGGTAAGGCAGGGCCTGGGAGGCAAGGCACACTGTAGCTTGTCCTGAAAGGAACAAGCTGCCAAGGACTCACTTGAGTCCCTTTAGTAGAGGTCCAGCCAAGCACTTTGTGTAGTTATGTACCTGAAATGCTCTTGGCAGGCTTCTAACCTTCAGAACACCAAGCCTGAACTACTCAAGCCACCAAGTTCATGGGAATTCTCACAGCAACAGTCTAAAACACAAGGGCTGAGCTGTGGCTCTGCTGGCATGTTTGCCCAGCATGCATAAAGCCCGCTACCACCTCATAAACTGGGTGTGGCGGCACACCTGTAATCCTAGCAACTGGGTGGGGAAGGGACGATGCACACGCACGTGCCTGTAACCCCAGCACGTGGGAGGTGTTTCCAGGAACCTGCAGTGAAGGCCAGCTCCTAGGCCCACCTCTCTGAGCCCTTTGTAGCTCTCCATTGATGTGCTGACTTGAACCATGCCGGCCATCAGGCAGCTCCAGCGTACATGGAAACTCAGTGATGGTCTCAAAGATCTACACGTACACAGTTCTGTCTGTTTTGATGTTCTTCCTGGTCTCCGCTTTGAGGTGCCCACCCAGACAGACTTTCAAAACCACCCCATCACTCCCAGGCCAGATGTTGAAATCTCCAAGGTACAGGGAAACTTCTATAAAAAGGCAGGCTGTCACGAGTTGGAGTAATAGCTCGGAGGTTGGGAGCACTAGCTGCTCCTCTAGAGGACCTGGGTTTAATTCCCAGCACCCACCATTTATCTATAACTCCAGTTTCGGGGAATCCATGACAACAGGCATGCATGTAGTGAAAACACACAGGTATGCAGGCAAAATACCTATACATATAAAATAAATAAATCTTAAAAAAGAAAGAAAGCAGGCTGAAAGCCTAGTGTGGTGGCACGTGTTTGCCTTTAATCCCAGCACTTAGGAGGCAGAGGTAGGCAGGTCTCTGAGTTCAAGGCCAGCCTGGTCTTCAGAGTGATTCCAGGACAGCAGGAGCTATACAGAGAGATCCTGTCTTGAAACACCAAATAAGTAAGTATTTAGATAGACAAATTAATTGATTAAAATTTAAAGCTGTCTGAGCAAGCCAGTAAGCAGGACTCCTCCAGGGCCTCTGCATCAGCTCATGCCTAGGGGTTCCTGGCCTGCTTGAGTTCCTGCCCTGACTTCCTTTCATGAACAGTGATGTGAAATCCCAAGCAAAATAAACCCTTTCCTCCCGGTGTTGCTTTTGGTCACACTGCTTCATCACAGCAACAGAAACCCTAACTAGGACGGTGCCCCCACCTCATGAGCAAGCTCACAGACACCCCAGGAAGTGACAGCACTGGAATTAAATCTGTGCTGATGTTGCAGGAGAGTGTCCAGGAGCTGGTTCTCCCCTTCCATGGGTCTGAGGTTCCAACACAGGTCATCCGGCTTGATCGGAAAGTGAGTATCTCTTGTTCAAGCCCCCCCCCCCCCCCCCCCCCCCGTTTTAGAACCCTCTCCGGTAGACGGATGCCCGTCTCCCTGTCTCAGTGAATTTACTCCAAACAGCAGTCTTTCATAGTGTTTTGGCAGGCGGTGACAACTTCTGCATTGCCATGTGAGAAAGAGTCTGGCCTACAGCTGGCTGGGCAAGAAGATGAATTTGTACTGCAACACCACGCTTCCACTTAGGTTCAGTGAAGTCTGAGCTTGATCTGGGTGCTCGGGGGTAGGGGGGAACCCACTAACGAAAACTACGGGGACGGAGGAACCGAAATGCCCCAGGCCACGGGATCGCGCTGCCAACGCTCAGCAAGACAACCAGGGGCCTCTCCAAGTCCGCCCCACAGCGGCAGGGGGACGGCCTCCCGGGGGAAGCCTCCGTTTGGGAGGCTCGGGCGGCCACCTCAGGCCCTCGCCCTGTAGGAACCAGGGTGGGCAAGGCGAGCGGTCCGCGCGGGGCTCCCCAGCCTGCGCCACTGGCCCAGCAGCAAGGAGGGCCGCGCTTACCTGCTGCTGGGACGCGCTCTCCCTCCCTCTCCTCCAGGCCGCCAGCTCTCCCGCCGTCACCCCGGCAACCGCCACCGCTAAAACCGGGGTCACGTGAGGCGACGGAGCCAATCGCGCAGGGCGAGACCGGCGCGGAGCTGCCTGGGAGGGAGGGGTGGGCGGCCCCAGAACTGGTTAGTGGCGGAAGTCGGGGCGCCCGGCGGCGCGGCGAGCCCCGCTCGTCACAGTCCGCGGAGGGAGGAGCGAGCGCCTGCTTAAGGTCTGCCTGCTTAAGGTCCGAGCGCCACACTTCCACCCACGGAAGACCTTCCAAGGATTATTAGACACTTTTGTCTTTTCCGTGGGAATCTGTCCGTGTCCGTAAAGCAAAAGCGGAGGCCGGCAAGATGGCTGAGGGACCAAAGGGGTTTTCCTCCTAGCCCGAAGACGGGAGTTCGAGCCCCCGGACCTACCTACCTACCTGGGGAACACGCGCGTGCATTAAATAATACTTAAGGTTCTGCCCAGCCTACCTTAGGTGTATTCAGAGCTACTCTAGTCCACACTCGGGACTTTCTCTCCCCTGGGAGTGTTGGAAGTCTGCATTTCCACATTCCAGGCCGTCAAAAAGTGGGAGACTCTCAAGAGGACTTGGAGAAGGGAGGTGGCCTCACCTTTCAAGAAGCCCCAGCGTGGGCTGAGGCCCCCATCTCCTGAACTCTGTCAGCCAGTGTTTTTGTGAGTTAGGATGTCTTTCAAGCAACCAACGTTATATTTAGCAGGAAGGAGAGTACTATGTCCTGTGTCCTGTCCAAGTAATGTGGCTTGAAAATAACCTCCCCTGGGTGTGTTCTCAGTTAATATTTATTGTCAGTATAACTGTGTGCCAGGGGTAACCAGATAAAATATAGGACAGCCAATTGTCTTTAAATTTTGGATAACTTTGCCATGAATATGCCCACAATAATGTTTGTCCAGAGAACCAGGGTTCCATTCCCAGCACCTACATGGCAGCTTAAAACCATCTGTAATTACAGTTCCAGGGTATCCAATACCCTTTTCTGGCCTCCAAGGCCACTGCATGCACATGGCACATAAATATACATGCAAGCCAAATAAACATACAAGTAAAAAATTAAGTTTAGGGATAGAGAGATGGCTCAGGTCTTAAAATCTCTGGACCCAGTTTGATTCTCATACCCACTTGGTGGCTCACAACCCTCTGTAAATCCAGTTCCTGGAGAGCTGATACTTTTTATGGACACCACAGGTACTGTAAACATGGGGTGCACAGACAGATAGGGACACATATAAATAAAAATAAATGAATAAAAATATAGATACTATTTTTTTCGAGATGTGTACCCCTGGATGTCCTGGAACTCACTCTGTATATCAGACTGGTCTGGAACTCAGAAATCTGCCTGTCTTCTGCCTCCCAAGTGCTGGGATTAAAGGTGTGTGCCACCACCACCCAGCAAGAAATAATTTTTTAATAAAAAATATGTCTGAAAAAGGGAGGGATTTCTCAGAGCTCATGGAACTGGGTAAAGCAAACCTAACCCAGCCATTTGTGCCTCTGAGTTCTGACCAACAATAAAAACACTTTCAGGGAGTAGGGAGATGGCTCAATCGTTAAAATGCCTGCTGTGCAGGCGTGAGCATCGGAGGGCAGCTCTGCAGCACCCACATAAAAGCCAAGTCTGCTGGTATGCCCCTGTGATCCCAGTGTAGAGTCATTGGGGGGCCAGAGACAGGTAGATCCCTAGAGTTCACTGGCCATCCAATCGAACCAAACTGATGAGTTCCAGGTTCAGCGACAGACCCTGTCTCAAAAAAAATAAAATGAAGGGCGATCAAAGAAGGTATTTTTATGTTCACCTTTGGCCTCCATATTCGCTTGAAAACACATGCACACACATGTACAAAGACCACACACATACAAGCAAAACCACATGGCACCCTCCAGAGTTGTTTTTTTTTTTTTTTTTTTTTTTTTTTTTTTTCACTTCTAGATGCATTTGCCTGACTGCTGAGATTATGCTCAAGTGTGAAGCACCCCTGTCCGGTTTGGTAACTATGGATTCAGTGCGATCTGACAACAACCATCTTGAGTTATAGCTGTCATGACTGCCCTTGAGTAATCCTGGTTGGTTTCCCACAAATAGTTTCTCAGCATACCATAAATAGCCAAATCCATGAGAGTGGTATGTAAGACTGGAGGACTGGACCCCGGTGCCAGGAATACGCTGGGCTCTTTGATGTTAGCTTGAGATAAAACAGGTGCATTCCAGCTTGAGTGAAGTCACTTTTGTCCTGAGTGCTGTATAAAGCCCTGTCATTTGATCCAAATTGTAGAGTTCTGCCTGGTCTTGCGGCAAGGCATGCTTCTTTCGGTAAATCTCCAGTAAATTGATCTCGGTACAACCTTGGATCAGCCTGCTGCATTCTCCTGTCATAGGGCACCTTGGGCCAGCAATCAAACTTGGGGATTGAGTTGTTGCAGAACAATAATACACCCAAACTCATCCCTTCCCTGACCACAGAGGTGAGCAGATGGTCCAGAGTAGACTAAATTTACTCTATCCCTCTGGCCACAGTAATTGGTTCAGAATGAGCTTGTGACCTGTTGTTTGAACAAATCCAAACAGAGTCAGTAAACATTCTTCCCAGGGATTTTTTTTTTTTTTACTGAAATGTGATCACACCACTGTAAAATGGCACCCAGGGAAGCCTACAGTCATGTTCTTCACCACATGGAAAAGCCAGAGAAAATGAAACCATCACCTAGGCTGGGATCTGAAGAACCAGCCTGCCTCCATCTTAGGCTAAAAAGTTATGCGCTAGTAAAAACGAAGCAGGCTCATTCCTGTTTGTGATTAAACCTCTGTTTCTCAAGGATTGGGCCTTGCCCAACCTGTAACCTTAACTACAAATGGTTCTGTCTTGCTTGTTCCAGGCAATCATGGCTTTGTTTCAAAAGGTTGATAACCATCTTGCAACTATACCTTTGTTTCAAAGGTTATATGACCATCTATCAGTACCTTTTTATGACTACCTGTTGTTTCATTAGCGCCTTGGTTTTAGTTTGTTTGTCTGTTTGGCTTTTGGTTTTTGTAGACAGGGTTTCTCTCTGTAGCCTTGCCTGTCCTGGACTCACTTTGTAGACCAGGCTGGCCTCGAACTCTCAGAGATTTGCCTGCCTCTGCCTCCCCTGGTGCTGTGTTTACAGGCGTGCACCACCGTGCCTGGCATCATGACTACCTTGTTTGTCCCCTTCCAACCTTGTCTTTGTTTCAGGAGGTCTCTAGGACTAATTTGTTCTGCTCCCGTAACCACACCTATCTTGCCTGACAAATCCCCCATTTGGAAACCCCAAACCCCTGAGTTATAAATGCCCTGTCTTCTTCACATCCAGCGCTGACCTCTCAAATCCTGCCTTATGGGGAGGCAGCCGCTGTACACAAATAAAAAAGCTTGCTTTAATTAATTTGGCCATGATGATTGGGGTCTGAAGTCTCTCCCATCTTTGGGATTAACAGAAGCCTGGTCCCAGACCCCGGGGGCCCTGCAGCAGCTCATCCTGCTGCTCCCCCACTGGAGCCACACTGTCTCTCCAGCATCCTCTGATCCACTGTTGTTTTCTCCTTAAACTGGTTCAAGCTGAATTTCTACCACAACCAAAGAGACCCAGCTAGTAAAGGCGTAATTCCTACATGGCTTTTAAGTGGGAAAAGAGACTAGTTTTGTTATGTTCACAGGTAACCCATCACTTCACTTCCAACACTAGGTGTATGAAGCCTCTCCACCCCCATCCATCAAGTAATCTCCCTCAGACACAAGCTGGGTGTGCATTAATTCAGGTCCGATAGTAGCAACCTAGAGCTGCTGGGTAAGGGCTCAGCCTACAAGAATGCCTCCACAATCCAGATGCCAATCACGTGTAGTAGGCTATCCTTGTGCTCTCACCAAATGACCCTGACCAAGATTCTCTAGACCCACTCCTTGGGTCCTATGAATCTGCTAGGATGGCTCATTAAATTCAGGGAAACACGTTTACTAGTTCATTATAAAGAATATTGTTTGAGGCTAGCCTGGTCTACAGAGCAAGTTCCAGAACAGCCATGGCTACACAGAGAAACCCTGTCTTGAAAAGCAAAACAAACAAAATATTGTTTAGGATATAGATAAATAGGTAGATTAAAAAAGTAGAACACAGCACAAGATAAAGATGAGGGCTTGTTCAGAACCCCTGCAGGGTTCAGCAGTCAGAAATGAGAATTCAGGAATTTTTTAATCTTGTTTTTTCTAGACAGGGTTTCTATGTGTAGCCCTGGCTGGCCTGGAACTCAGAGATTCACCGACCTCTGCTTTTCAGTTACTAGGATCAAAGGGGTACGCCACCAACTGCCCTGCTGGGAATTCAGGACTTTTTACGAAGGTTGCCTTAAAGTTGATTGTGGAAAGCTCGCAGCCTCTAATCATGGCTTCCTCTTTCTGGCGATCAGTCTCCAGGCAGGAGCCTGCAGAGGGTTACTGGAACACAGTATGCTGGAACACAGATGCTTGCTGGTCCTGTTTCCTATCTTATATGTGTGTGTGTTGGCCTGTGTGAGTTTATGCATACCGTGTACACACAGGAGCCAGAAGAGGCTAGAAGAGGAGTTCTGTCCCCTGAATGGGAGTTACAGCTGGTGATTATCAATTGAGAAAAGGGGGTGCTAGGAACTGAACCTAGGTCCTCTGCAAGAGCAGTAAGAGCTCATAACCACCGAGCCATTTCTCCAGTCCCCTAACCACTTAGATTTGCAACTTCTTCTGCTCAGCACCAAAGTGTCTCTGTCCTCCCAGTCCCATGGATTCAAAGCAGTATACCCAGCCAAATGGCTCGGCTTCCAGCCTCTTAGAACTTGTCAAAGCACTCATTTGCTTTACAGGTTTTCGCCTGACCTCTCTAGCTCTCTCAGAGCAGGACAAATTCTTACAGCAGGTCCAAGAAAAACTTCTTAAAATATTAATTATGAAAACTTCAAATATATGCAAAAGTAAGGACTACTTTAACGAATCCCTCAAAACCCATTACTCA